AACTGAACACTGCCTCTTTCACATCTGCAACACTAAACTCAACTTCAAGGAAGGTTTTATCAGCCTCTTCAAGGCAAGCTACCAATACATAGTCACTCCTAAAATTGAACAAGTTTTGATTCTGGTATCTTTCCTTAAAGAACTCCAAGGCTTCGGATTTAATTTCCTCAGGGTCTTCCACAAGATTACCTCCCACAATAACAGCAGGAAACAGTTTAAACGATACCTCGAGTTTAGAAATTATGGAAGAATTTTTTGTTGAGATCCCCATCTTGGAGCCATCTCACCCGGGATTTCTGAGCCAACATACTTTCTTTTAACCTCAGATTCTTCCACATCTCCTCCTGGATTCTCAAACTATCGCTAACAGTCTCTTCAGCTTGGTAACCTAAAACCGATTCAGAATACAACTCAAGTTGGTTAAACTTTTGGATATTATCCTCTATCTTTAGCTCAAGCCATCAAAAAACTTGAAAATTCCAATTTTGCAAGTCAGCTTTAAGGGCTTGAAGTTTCTTGATCAGAATGTTATAGTAAGAGCCAGAAAAATGATATGAGTTCCACGACTTCTTGACAAACAGAAGGAATTGCTTATGGGAAAACCAACAATTGAAGGTCCTAAAAGGTTTAGGCCCCCAATTAACAAAATTAGACTTCAGCCACACATGCCGATGATCTGACACATCTCTATCTCCCACCACTTGGTTCTTCAAGGATAAGAATGAAATAGCAAGGTCATCAGCTAGAATTCTGTCCAATCTACTTCTACTCTTGCCATTAGAATTGAACCATGTGAACCGATTACCAATAATTGGAAGATCAATCAAATTCAGAGCCTCGATGAATAAGTTGAAATCCTTTATTTCTCTACTAATGTTGTCGCTTTTACCTTTCCTTTCCTCCCCATTTTTCACAGCATTGAAATCCCCGCCCACGATCTAACCACCTCCAAGGAATCTTCCTTTAACTTCAACCAAATCCCTTCACAATCTCTTTTTATCAGTAGAACCACATGGTGAAAACACATTGACCACTATCAGACTTTGATTTTTCCACATGAATTGCGTACCCAAGAAGCCACTGCCACGGAAGCTAGAGCAATCTGTAATGTTTTTACAATTCCACATTGTAAGGATGCCACCAGATCTACCAGAAGAGTTCAATGCCGACCACTCCACACCGTAATTCCTCCACATACTATTAACTAGAACGGAATCCATCTCAGTTATTTTTGTTTCCTGAATAAGAAAAATATCTGCATTACCTCTTAAAAGAGTTTGAGAAACTCTCCTCCTCTTCAGAGAACTGCAGCACCCATGAACATTATAGGATATGATATTCATGGACCACAGATAGCTACAACCTTCTTACCTGATCTAGCTTCCTTATCATCTCTATCCAATTTCCTCAGAATACCATCTAGAACTTCTTCATCATCATCATCATCTCCTTGAACATCTAACTTCTTCAAATAATTTCTCACCTTGGATGGAACTTCTTCAAGGACCCTACGACATCTCAAATTCCATCTTTCCACATCGGTATCAGTAATAGATTCACAACATAAAAGGGATGAACTTGACTCATAAGGGACACTTCTAATATTTTCTTCTTAATTTCCTCCCTATCAAAATTCCTAATAGGGGAAGCTTCATACTCCTTCAATGCCGAGTGTAACAGAGTGGAAAAATAGGAGGGTGTGTAAGGAATCTTGATGCAATTGTAAACCTCGTGAAGGGGTTTTTTCTTTTTGGCTTTTCCTTTATTTGCTGGCCCAACTAAACCTCCTGGAGCCAAGATATAGGATTAGGAAGCCCCAAGTCCACAACTAATTCACCATTTAAAATGTTAGTAAAAGTAACATCTTTAACCTGGTTAGGTTCTAATCCAACCGTGTATTTAACTGAATTGGAGCCATCTGACTTGTCTACTTTATCATTTATATTTCTGAACAAAAAGTTATCACCATTGTTACCTTTTGTTGGTTCCTTACTAGACTCAATTTGATTCTTACCAATACTCCCTCGGGACCCACCACCTGCTGCACCTATCCCTAAGCTTTCCCCAACAATTGACACATTTTTAGAAAAGGTACAACCACCACCTAACCCTTGTTCTTTTTGGGAAACAAATTCTCACAACCGGCTCAACATTCAAAAAACTGGAGTCCTCACTCTCTTCCTCTTCAGAGGCTTCCCACGCGCCTTGAAAATTTGACGGTACTGATGATTCAAAATCTTTTGAATCAATCACCTCATCTTCATCTTCAAATAATGGGGCATCACGCCCACACGAGAAGTCTTCTATTATGGATATAGTGTAGATGTGGTTATTCAATTCAACACCAACCTTCTTACTTAGAATAGCCCTTAGATTAGTTTTGATTAGCAATCTTGCGACTTGAAGGTAAACCTTACTCCTACTATTCATATCACACTTAATAAACGTACCCAGATTTGAAGAAATCGACCGATAATTATCACCAGTCCAAGCAAAGGTAATCTGTAACACTTCACCCACACAAAACTATCTCTATTAATCACCTCCAGTGACTATTGACAGATTTCGCTAAACCAAACTTCCAGCCAATCTTTGGAATCCTTTACAAATGCTTTAATGTCTCCACCTGAAATATCTTCCAATAAGCACATAGAAGCTCCGAGGGGAGTAGCCTTAATATTGAAAAAACCTTCTTCATTAATGTTCCTCTGAATGTTAAATGTGTTTTCGTTCTCCATCACCATGCCCACTCTCAGACGTTTAAGCCTCTCCATCCAGTCATCATCCACCTCTAAAGATGCACAGAAGCCATGGCTCATGACCTTCCCTTTGTCCTTTGGAACATCTCTACTTACCACATTAGCAAATGATATTTCATAGTTGTTATATTTCTCATAACTTATATTGCGTCCAAGATGGCTAACATTCTTCTTCGAATTCTTTCTAACCGGATAAGACCTCTTATTCTCCATACTAAACTGGGAATATTAACAACCAACTTCTTGCCTTCCAGGATGATACTATCAAGATTACAAGCTAGGATTCGGGAATCATGAACTTTCCGAAATTTAGCAAAACCAAATCTTTTTCCACGTTTGTCTCGCCTTGCTGATATGAAAACTTCTGATATAACTCCATAAACCTTAAACACCTCAAACAGATCTTTGGAATTCATCTTCTCTGGGAACTCAATTATGAAAAAAATAAGTCGTAGGTTTCCCATATGTTGCTCCTTTACGGTTGTTCTCCTTCCACCCTGAAAATCCTCCACTAAATTCGAAAGCTAAGAATTTAAGCCGAAGATAACACTAAATTGGAGTAGAAATGAACACAAAACAGGCATGAGTTCAATTGGCGCACATATCTCGGTGCTTTCATCTTCATGTTTTCTGAAACCAGCTAAGAAACTTCTTTCAAGTCGTCGTTGGCAGTACCGACACAACTTGCATAATTGATTCTCCGTTTGCTTTCTTCATAGTTTGTAGTGGTAATATAGGTGTTTGTTAATTTATGCTGCTATAAAACAATTGAAATGTTTATCTACATTTTATTGAAATTAAAATTAATCTAAGACCAACCATGTCTTAACCAAGATTAAATATGTTGGCTTTTCTATCCATTGAAAAATAAATTTTACATAAAATCAATTATGATAATTTAATAAATAATTTTGAATCTCAAAAAGCTTGGAAGATAAAATATATTTAAATTAATTATATATAAAAACTTAATTTGATAAAGGTCCAAATCTTAAACTTCACTTTATACCTTAATATTGGTTGAGACGGTCTTGTATCATCTGATATCTTCACTGAGCATTTCAAGTGTGAGGATTTTGTCAAGTTAAAATATCTACTTGGAGTAGAAAAATCAAGTTTAAAGGGGTGTTGAATATTTAAATTGATTTTGGTTTTGTTAGTTTTTGGTCCTTGCAAATTTTAAGCCCAAATTTGTGTTGTAGTAGGGCCAATTTCTAGAAGCATATTCTAGAGAGATCTATGGAGCTCTCTAGAAGAAAAGTATAAGTTAATATTTTTGTAGAATAGTATAGAGAATTCTAGAGAGTGATTTATAACCATTAGATTAAGTTTGTGTTGGCAAAATCTTAATTGTTGATTTAAGAATGTCATTAATATAAATAGATGTGATGTATTTGAGTTTGTATCAAGCAAAAAATTACAAACACCCTCCTAAATACTTAACTTTTTTCAACTACAAAAGGTTTATTGGAATATCTAGTATTTTTATTATAAAATTATTTTTATATATTTAGAAGCATTAATATTTTAATTATTTGGAGAAAGAAAAACACAATACCCCATTGATATGTACAAACCCATTATATAATTCTACACCCTATCTTTATATTCAATCAGGTCCCTTCTACCATTTTGCAATAGCAGTAGATACCTTCAATTGTTAATACCAACTCAATTTGAATCAATGGGGACAAAAACTATCATGAGTTTGATTTAAATACAGGTATGCATTTGCACTATTTTTTTAGATCTTATTTCTTCACTCATTCGAATTTGTACTAAATCTTGTTCTAAATGATGCAGCTTCCTTCTTTGAAGAAGATGTCTCTTTATTCAGCAACACTTTTACCATGCGACTTGATTGATCTTTTGTCAGAGAATTTTTTTTCAATGTCAACGACCGTGATTTCCTTGATAAAATGAGGTGAATTTTATCTTAATTAATGTTTTTTGCAGTCATTTGGGAATTTGAAATTTTTGTTATGGAGTTTTGTTAAGGTCAAATGTCTTTCATTAGAAATTATATTTTTGTTCTCTATTTGTTTCATTAAGTGTGTTCGATGGATTGCGGTAGTTGGTTATAATATATGTTTGTTAGGTATTTTCTAAATTCTTGCACTAATGGTTGATTTGATCTTATTTAAGTGGCTGGATTGGTTCACGTATATTAGATTTGATCATATTAAAGAGGTTGGATTATAGGTTCAATTTATATATTCTTATGTTTTATTATTTTTCATAATGAATCAAACAGGCATTCGTACAGAACCTACAAATAGTGTTCAAGAAGTAATGCAACTTTTATTTATTGGTGTGAATTTTGACATCAAATTTATTGATTTTGAATTGCCCATAATAAGTAGACCCCAGGTATCAACAATTTCTTCTTTTATAGATATGAGATGAATTGTTATTATATCTACCACTAAAATCATTTTTATTTTATTTTACTTAGTTTGTGATGGATATGAATGCATTGGGGATACAAAGCACAACAGTGGACATGTTATCAAACTTAAGGGATCATAATTCAGAAATGTTTCTTGAAGCAGAAGTTAATGGCAACACTCAGAAAACTTTCATTCGTGGAATTTTGAACACATCATTGAAATCATTCGCTTCATATGAATCTAATGTTCGTTATTGTTATGATGTGTTATGCTTATAATTGTAAGAGAGACATTGACTCTATGAGTTTAAATATTAAATGAAAGTAGTTTATCTACAATATTTTAGAAATTAAAAACTACCAGAAAAAACGTAATGAAGGAAGTAAACACATCATCAATGAAAGAAAGGGTTGATGTTATTGAAATTATGGAATCTAGATCATCGTCAATTCTTAAACCATTACCAAAAGTTATGATTGGACCATCATCTCGACAGCAAGACATAATACTCTCTAATCCTCCTCCAAGTCACATTATCATAATATCACAGGATGATATGGATTCACCTGATCCTTCTCTAGGCCGCATTATTACAATGATAATGGATGACATTGGAGTCACCTGATCCTCCTCCAAGTTGCGTTATCACAATGTCATTCTCAAAGTTGCATTATCACAACTTTAAATTACATTATCGAAGTTGTATTATCACAATGTCGTCTTGCAAGTGACAATTTTTTTATATTTTCTTAAGGCTAAAGATCTACCGCTTAGTTATATTATCACATGTACTTACTTCATATGTATTAAATAATGATTAATACAAATAAATTGCTTAAATATGTAAGGAATGATATTACAAATAACTTGCTTAAATGTGCATTAAGATTATTTACATTAAAAATTTAAATGGATATATTAAGATAAATTCCATTAAGATAAATTAAGACAAATTAGTAAAAGATGATAAATTATATTGAGACATATTCTATTTTTTTTTATATCAAATATGATAAATAATCACATTACAACAATCAACAAAACAAGTCAGGAGTACTAGAAGTACTCACAAGTAAGCCAAAATAATAAAAACAACAAAATATAAATTCTTATTCTTATTTTTTTAAACTGAGTTGTGCTCCCGGGGAATTGTTACACAATGTTAGATATTTGAACTTAGAACCAATCACATTCCTTTACCTGGAAGGCACCCTCCATCTCATTGTTTATGAAATGCTTCTAGTACGCCTAGGTATATTCATTTCTATTAGATTTACTCATTAAGGAAAAACATTGTATATAGCCGTAATCTGAACTTTCGATGTCTGTCAAACAACTTCTTCAGATGATCAGATGAACATCTTCAGTTCTGTATTTGGCAATCATATCGTCCACATAAACCTCATTTTTTTGGATCATATCGTGAAAGAGGGTTGTCATGACACGTTGGTATATTGCCCCTGCGTTTTTTAGAAAAAATAGTGTGACTTTGTAGCAATATGTACCCCAAGGCGTGATGAAAGTAGTATTCTCCATATCAGCTGAGGACATCTTGATCTGATTATATCCTGAAAAATTGTTCATAAACGAAAAGACAGAGAACTGCGCAGTGTTGTCTACCAAGACATTAATATGAGGCAGAGGAAAATCATCTTTGGGGTTGCCTTACTGAGATCTCGATAATCGATACACATTCTGAACTTCCCATCTTTCTTTGGAACAAGGATGGTGTTAGCAATCCATTAAGGATATTCAGAAGTGGCTATGAACCCAGCGCGAAATTTTTTCTTTACCTCTTCTCTTATTTTAAGTGCCATGTTGGGTTTGGTCGTTCTGAGTTTCTGCTTGACAGGAGGATATTGAGGCTTGAGTGGTAAGTGATGTTCAACGATGTTGGTATCTAACCCAAGCATATCTTGATAAGACCAGGAAAAAATATAAACATTCTCTTTCAATAACTTGACCAACTCAGAGTGTACATGCTTAGCGAGGGATCCCCCAATCTTGACTTCTCTTCTGACATCATCGGTACCAAGATTGATAACTTCCACTGACTCTTTGTGCAGCTGAATATTTTTCTGATCGTGCTCAAGGAGCCTTGCTTTTTTAGCCGGTAATTCACGATCTTCCTCACCATCTTCTTCGGCTTGGTTAATTGGAATCCCAGAATTACAACGTATGTTTGCCAAATTGTTATCAATGCAATTATTTGCTATGTATGTTTATGAATTATGTTTAGAATGACCTATTTGAAAGGTGAATAAAAGAAACTTTTTCCTTTTTTTTATTTGTGAAAAAGTAAAATAAAGAAAAGAGCATAATTTGAATGCAAAAAAAAATTTTATTTATTGTTCACATAATGTTTCAAAAGCGGAAGGCCCTTTACAATCTATCCACTCGTCTCGGGTGAGGACGTGGGAATAATAAAGAAAAATTCATTACATGTTTGTGGGAAAAACCATAGGAACCACAGTAGATGTCCAATTGTTGAGCTTGAACCCAGACGGACACTTCCGCACAAAGCATGCACTTTGGTTACTATAACCAACATCATCAATAGTCGACACAATATCACCCTTATAGAATCTAGTGCTTTTGAACTTGATTAAGTTTCTCTTCTGATGACTGCATGAACTAGCTTGCTGATCAGGATGGTAACCCAATCCAAAGCGATCATGCTTCTCAACCACATTCAGGATTTGCCCCCAGCCAGGCAAGGCACCTTTCTCAATGGTCTTTTTAGCACTCTTGATAGATGACATGATCATTTTCGGTAATCTACTAGAATTGACAGAAGCGGAGCTAGCATTTTTGAATTTAAGACATTGCAACGGCACCTCAGTTATGCCCTCATCAGTCTCGACATATCAAAAGGATGATAAATCGCTTACTAGAAAATCTTCTTCACCATAAACGATGACTATTTGATCGTCAAACATGAATTTTAGTTTTTGATGAAACATGGAAGTAACTGCCCATGCGGCATGAATTTTAGTTTTTGATGAAACGTGGAAGTAATGTGGAAGTAATAGTAAACAAATGTAGTCCGACTTTAATGGGTAAATCCACTTCACCAATAACTTCCCTTTGATAACCGTCAAAAGCTCTGACAATTAAAGTGCTTGGGCTCATCTCGCTCCCTTCTACCAGTAGTTGACTCAATGTGCCCTTAGGCATCACATTGAGAGAAGAACCAGTATCCACAAGAACATGAGATAGTAAAGAATCCATACAAATTACTGAGATATGCAAGGCTTTAATATGGGAAGAACCTTTAGGAAGCAACTCTGATTCATTGAAACCCAAATACCGACTTGCAGTTATGTTTGCGATTACATCATCAAATTGTCCTATGGGAATATCGTTCATTACATGAACAGTGTTCAAAACTTTCAACGAAGTTGATTTGTGCATGGGAGAGCTCATGAGTAAAGACAAAATTGAAATCCTCGAAGGAGTTTACCCTAGCTGATCTACAATCTTAAAATCGCTCTTTTTGATCTGCTTGAGAAACACGGTGGAACCATACTTCCAAGAAACTTCTTTTGAATTCTGATACGGGAACGGTTTTGGCACACAAACAGTGATAAGATGCATTTTCCTCTTAGGTGTTTCCATAGGAACTTTCCTATATATGATTGTGAATGACTCAATAGTAGCTACCTCTTCCACAGACTTGGATCTGGAAAACTGAACTATACCTCGGTTCATCAATATTTAAATGTAGCTGTCACACCCTAATTTTTGACCTTAAGATCTCACCTCCTTGTGCATTTGTTGTGTGGCATATGTTTTCTTTTGTATGTGTTTATTATGGCTAACCATTTGTGCAGATGCAGCGATATCAAACGTTAATCCCCATAGTCAAGCGCTTCAAAATATAATCATGCTGATTTAAGGATTCTAAGATCTTTCTATTTCCAATTTCAATTGGATTATATGGGATCAACAGCTGACAGCTACTATGTAGCCTGAGATGATTCATGAGTATTATGTCATTGTGATTCCAATTATCACATTGAAATCTATCATCCCAAGTTCAGGTTGGATTAAAGCCCAAATTAGTGCAATTTATATTGATTTAGCTTCAAAGATCAAAGTCAAGCTTACGAGATTTTGAAAAGGAAGTCTATATTAATATGTTGGAGGTTTAATCTTATTCAAGCTCACAAATAATTCATACTACTAAAGATGCCACATGTTTTCAAAGTAAAGACCCATACCACACGAAATAGAATCTCGCAAAACTTAATTCATGGCGCACTCTTGTCAGACTTGTGCAAGGATCCTTTGTGGAATTATTTTGGTCGAATCCAATTATTTTTCAGGATATAACCATTGGATTTCAACTAGATAAGTTTCCTTTAGCATAAAGTGGGACTTTTTCTTTTGTTTCAATTACTAAATAGAAAGGTGTTTCTAAGCAGTGAATTCTGGTATAGTTGTTACGGCTGTTTACATCTTGAATTCATTTAAAAACACGTGAAGATTACATACTATTCAAATTCATTCAAAGCTACAAGTTTAAGATAATTGAAGCTACATGATTCTGAGATCCATGCTACACGTCTCAAACTTAACGTCTAAGGTTTTCCTCCATAATTTCCACGCCTCCCGGCAATTGTTGTGATGCTGCCTATAATTTACCATTCATGTAATAATCTCTACCACAAATCAAAGCACGTATGCATACCATATTTGGAAAGAGATTGGATTAAGAAAGTCATGATTTTTCATACTGATACAAGAAATCAAATATACATGGCAAGTTACATATCATTTCTTATGCAAACTATCTCAAACCGGCGTCCCTACTCAGTGGTTAATAATTTTTGAATGCCCTTGAGTGTTACAAGCAAGTTAAGAATAAGCTGAGCTTTTCGTGAAGACCAAGTTGTTTTCCTGCTGTGAGTCGCACAGAGAGTGTAAGGATACCTTCAACATACGGTTACGACCGAAACTTTCCAAGATGGAAAGCGGCGCACTTGCCAGCATCAATCGAGAAGACTGAGGGAGGGCTGGAGGTTGGCAGCCGTGGGTGGCTTCCTTCCCGTAAGTTTCAGTGGTGGTCACGAGGCATTGCCACACTTCGCCACTCGTAGCCAACCCGTAATCTACAATGAGGAGAGGTCACAACATTATCAAATGAGTCCGACAATGATACAGTATATTAAATTAAAACAGCCTCCATTCTTCAATGCGGTAAACCCCCACCAATATTATTCATTAAACCGCAACTGACAACCCTGTATCGCAAGCAGCCAAAGGCACTCATGTG